TGTTTTTATCCCAATATTTAAGCTTATCAGCCTCTGGTGTAGTCAAATTCACCAACATATTAAGGCACCCTAATGTTCATATCCCAGTATAAAACTTGACAGAATCATTATTTTTCATGACATCCTCCAAGAAGAGCTCTTTGTTCAATCTTGATTTGTCTGATTTGAGCCTTTTTAGCTGCTCTTCAAGCTCTTCAATGCGACACATGGTAATGTCAGTTTGACAGCTGACTGAATTTCCTTTTTTTAGGTTTAGTATCCTTAAGATCTCTATCAGATCTTGATCAGTTTTATCATTTTCTGCAACTAAACGGTATGAATGATCATGCTGAATGTCCTGGACATTGGCACCACTCCAAGCTACAACTAATTCAACCTCTTTCACAGGAGAATACTCTTTATTGATGTCCACACGAAGGCTCGGCTCAGATGTTTTCACATCATCATTCAGCCGGGGTTTCTTTCTCACTGATATGTAGCGAACATCTCTTGGACTTCTTTCCTTGACTGGTTTGAAAATTGTTGGTAGAGCTGACTCGAGAATTTTACACCTTCCATTCAATGTTCTTTTGTATGATTCCAGTACAAAATATGCACTACAAATCCTCAAGTTGTTTGGCTTCCCCGCCTTCACTTTAATAGCTTCAATTGCAACCTTCCTGTCTGCTCTGCGGCAGAATTTTAACCATTTTAAGCCTCACATTGGACGAAAAAACTCCCGAGCCCAGTGTCTACTCCTTACTTTCAACACTCCAAGAACCCTGGGGTGAGACTAATAATAAACTGATTAGCTAAGTGATTAACTACATTATTTCCTTTTATGTTAATGTAATTGTGCTGCCTTTCGCACCGATTTTAAGCTGTTTGAAGCTGTTCATAAATGCACTCAGTCCTTAGCCTTTTTCGAATTGTTTTGCAATGTTTTTACTTTTCAAAATGAGTTCTTTCGCAGAGATTCAATCCGTCGCTGATTTAGAGTCAAAACCGGCAGACATTAAGATTACTTGGGATGAGATAGCCCCGCGAAATATCCAAGACTGGCTAGATATCTTCAACAAGAGCCATGGCACAATGCGCGATTTGCTGCTTACTGGAACGTTGCCGTAACTTTTTGATTGTTGGAAAGAAAATGGTACTTTGTTTTTTGGTGGCCTTGCTAAATCCATCCTTGGAGACCCAGGAACAGTTAGTGGGGGCGGGGAAAAGGCTAAACAGGTGAGAAAAAAATTAGGGTGAAGAAAAGTGAAGAAGGAGAGGAAGCGCCACTGGGGCCAAGGTTTTACCAGACGAGTTCCAAACAGTCAGAGTAGTTCTGGCTTCTGATTAGTGCCAGAAAGCCTTTGTTTTTTTCTGCCCAATCACAGAGCAGTAAGACTAGGAGTTGTTTCGTGTTTTCTTACACGAAGACATATCAGGCCAGTTGCTCGCCATATTTGTCTGCATTGTTCACCGAGGGTTTACTCTAGGAGAAAAGTTCCAATCACAGCAGAAAATGTGGGGGACATCGTTAGGCATGTCCCAAAGAAACTCGCCGGAGATATGCTGGACCTTTCGCAGGTATCGTAACATTGACTTCTAAAGTTGACTCCTTTTTCAGGAGAGTGTTATATACGGGGAGCTTTGCATGGTCGTGGCATTTTCATTTAAAGATGGAAGATTACGGAAGTTTTGCCGGCTATAAGAAGATCATCCATTGAGTGTCAGCTTTACAACGTCAAAAAACCCAACCACTTGTGGCACCTGGATTCCAACCACAAGACCATTCACTGGAGATTTGTTTTCCATGGCTGTATTGATGGATTCAGTAGAGCTATTGTGTATTTGAAATGTTTTACCAATAATCTTGCAAATACAGTTTTGCAATGCTTTACTTTTGGTACACAAAAATTTGGGCTTCCTTTTCTTCTTAGAGGTGACAGAGGTGTAGAAAATGTGGACGCTGCTCTCTTTATGATTCAGAGGGCTTAACAGAGGAAGTTTTATTGCTGGACATGGTGTTCATAACCAGAGAATTGAACATCTATGAGCAGAAAGAAACAGAGTGGTATCTGCCTTTTATGGAGACTTCTTTGTTTTTATGGAAGAGGATGGCATTCTTGATTTGCACAACGAACAGCATACAATTTGCTCTTCATGATGTTTATCTGCCAGCCATACGGGTTTCTTCAGATGAATTTATCTTGCAATGGAACCACCATGGTTTGCAAACAATCAATAGGTGTTCTCTGCTGGCACTCTGGCATTTAGAAATTGTTCACACTGGTGTTGATAATTTTGATGTAGGTGATGAGTCCTTGTTTGGCATTGACCCTGATGGTCCAGTTGGTGAAAACAGATAACTATGTTGTTGTACCAGAAAGTACCATTCCGTTAACAGAATACCAGCTAAATGAGATCCGCCAACTTGTCCCAGATCCTCTTGTTGATTATGGTAATTACAAAATATGGCATTACCTTACCATATGCAATTATCTGAGAGAACATTCTCCACCCTAATGAGTCTTGTTAGAACTAACAGATGGCCTCTTAAAGAGTGTTATGTAGAGGTGAGATGTAAGGGACCCAAAACTTCCTTGAATGATAATTGTGATACATGTGTCCAATACTCTAAATTCTAACTTGAATTCAAGTTCTAACTAAGACTTAAACACAAAACTCAAAATGTAACACCCCATGTGAGATTATAAAAGCTTTTTGCGGTAGAAACCAGTCTCAGGTTACTGGAAATTTCTGTGGGAGGTGGGGCAGGGGGTCTTGCAGGCCAAAGATGATGCTATGATGGAACGTCAAGAGAAGTTAGAGTTCAAATAAAAATACTTCCTCTTTAGGGAGGTATGAATATTTTGTAAAAAAAACAATGTCCTCGTGTGCTCTACTGCGGTTTCTATGACAAAAAGATATAACACATTCTTCATTGTTCCTAGGACATGTCATTTTGCAACCTTGTTCCTAGAGTTTCTCTTCTTCCCATCCCCTTGGGAGTCAGACAAAATTTTAAGTACAATTTTGTACCTTAAGTATTTTGAAAATACTCAAGGACTGAGAATTCTGGCTCTTCTTCCCTTGTGGTAGGCATTCATGAACTCACAAATCCATCAGTTGAGAGAGGTCAGTCAAGGTTTTGTTGTCCTGTTCTTCCATTACCATGTTTTACTTCATCAAAATAATGGTGTATGTGTTCCAAACACGTACATGCATCTGTCAATTAAGACTGACAAAAGCTAACAGGAATAAAGCATCTTATCGGTCAAGTTTAAATCACAGAGTTGTGTAGTAGTCTTACGCCAAGACCTTATTAAAAGAGTTTATTTTCCCATTTCATCTCTAAACTCAAAACATCAATTCTCCTTGCTTTCTGCATGCTCCTATTTTCTGTTCAAGAGCTGAGACATTCTTATGCTATACTGGCAAGACTATAGTGTAGAAGTGAGCAAATGAATGCCTTTAGGTGACAACCAAATTCCAACACCTTAAACTGAACAATTTTGTTTAATAGTAACAAATATATAATACTACTGAAATTCACTAAGAGGTGGACCATTATGTCTCTGGGTACAATTTTTCCGAGCAGGATTTCTTCCCAATTCAGGTTGTGCAAGATTTTTTTGCACGTTTAATGTAAGTATGTTTTGCAGGAATATTTTGTGGCTATTGCCCACCCCATCTCACACAGAAATAAAATGTTCCATCCCTAAACTTTTTGATTCTTAAAATTTTAATACTGTTAATAAAATCTGATGCCCTGATTGAACGATCAAGATAATACGGTGGATTAGAAGGGTCATCAAAAGTATTTCCTCATTTTTTGTTGCCACACTTACTAACTGGCCATCGACACTGATAACTGTCGGAAAGGTTAACTGTCTATCACTACTTACAACTGTCGATCGACACTTATAACTGTCGATCTGCATTTATAACTGTCAATTGCCACTTATAACTGTCGATTGACACTTATAACTGTCGATCGACACTTACACATGTAACTGTCGATTGACATCAGGCCCTGCGCAACAAACATGTGGTTTTCAAGATGGCCGACATGAATGAGGTAGGATTTTAATTAGGATTAAAATTAATTTTTAAAGGCCTAAAATCTGTGTTTCAATGTCACATTTGTATTGCCATTTGTTTAATGTACATAGAAGCTATTCAATATGTAGTTTCAAAGAATGGAAGAACTTTCCACAATGAACAGAGCACGGACTATTCTGTGTTGTTCATGGGCAGGGACAGAAGTCGCACTGGATCAACTCGGATCGCTGATTTAAATAAGAATGGCATCAATTGAGTTGATCCAGTCTGTACCTGCCTGTTTTTGACCATGTTCCATGCTTATTACTCATAGGTAACTTATTATGAACAAGTATGTTTTTGGTAAAGATCAGAGTAGTTAGACATCAATTGGCAGCATTCATGTTTCTGCATTTTCTTCTCTTTCAGGTTTGTAAATTCCCCACTAAACAGAGAGTTCACAATGAAGTAATCAGTGAAGTACACGAGGAAAAGGTTATTGTAATAGTTTTTTACAAATGGCTATTTAAAGAATCTGACCCACCCAGTATGCATTGCACACTCACATAGTCAATCCACCATTATTGGGGCACCCGAAAGAAGGCAGAGTTACCATCTGAGAATTTCCATCCGTTCGCATTGAGTGTTTTCTGCTTTAAACAGGTCACGTCTTTACATAAATATTCTCTCCACTTCTTATACTTATTTTTTGGCTGACTGGGCGAAAGGAGGCCCTTGGTGTTCAAGGAATTACCAATAGCAAGTTTGCTGAGATATTGCTCCATCAAAACCTTGGCATTGCTACGGATCGAGATTACAATAGATCGAGTGAGCTTGTGCTCCCAGGGACTACAACATCGACACAAGGTAAAACTTCTCAAGATAACTTCAAGAATGAATTTAAATTTTGTGTGTCTTTCACACTATTTAAGCAAGCTTTCTTTCCTGTTTTAATTCAAGTCATCGTAAGAGCAAGCATTTCCAGTTTGTCTTGAGGAAATATTTATAATGTAAATGTGTGACAAATGACTGATGCTGCTATATTTTTGACTTTCACAGGAAGAAGGCAGTTGTTTTTTCAGTTGACCCCAATGGAAACAGCTGGTACCATCGGTGAAATACCAGTTTCCTCTGTACTGTTCAGCAGTGCTGCAGACAACACATCTGTTAGCAAGTAAGTGTTTGTCTTGAACTTTGAACATACTAATGGTTGCATGCATGTTTGAATGTTCATCGCATACAAAGACAGTGCAATGATTTTCGGAAATCACACATGAGAAGTAAAAATTATTTCGTTATTTTACCGTATGTTCAGCAGTGAAGTCGACATAACTGTTACCTCAACACTTAGATCCCAGGATCAAGAAGAACCAACAGGGCACCAGACTCTCCTGGATAAAATGATGACATGGAATCCTGGCTTTTCTTCCATGGAAGGAAATTTGCACTCAGAAGCGGTCAACGAAGAGGAGTAAGGGAGTTTCCTCACTATTCTTAGTTGTGTTATATTGGACTGTATCTGTTATCATCTTAGTTGTACCCTTTTTGTTCTTAGGCTTGTGCAAACATATCTATCAGTGTGTTTTTGCTAAAGCTAATGCTTGAAAGCCAGATAGTGTGTTGGCATACAATATTCTTTACTCCCCTCATTTCAATTTGAATTTCAAATGATTTATTAATGATATTCAGAACTGTTGATCATATGAAAGTGTGTGCTTTTTTATATTTCATATTTTCTACCTGTTTTGCCTTGATCGCTCACACACTGTAATATTTGTAGCTCCTGGGAGTACAATAAGTTGTAATTTCCAGTGTAAAAGATATATTCCAAAGTTTAGAGGTCCACTGCGAACTGTTCTGGCAAAACCCAATTTGAATCCAAACCACTCGAATTAGAGTCCAGCAAACTAAACCATAAGGCACTATAGTTCCATGTAGGTTTGCTGTTGCCATTGAAGTACTGGTAAACATGAATCTATTCTCATCCCTGATAAAAATGATATATTTACTTTTAGCATTGCAGTTAATTCACCACTTTGGTAAAACAAAATGCAGATTTTGTAATTGTTGTATCTTCTGTTGTTCACAAACATTTTGTTGTTTCAGATCTGATGGTGAGTACGCTATTGATTTGAGTAGCGGTGAAGATTCAGACGATGTCAGTGAAGTAGAGGCTGGGTTGGATAGTGAGGTGGATGGGGATTAAAGTGACTCAGAAGATGGTTCAAGTGAAGAGGATTCGAGTCTTGATTCCTTCCAACTGGATCATACACAGTAAGTTATCACACTGTAGTTTTTTCGTGTTGTCAATCTCACTGACCTTTGGTAAAATGTAATA